TACCAATTTTCTTTAACTTTTTAGGTTTCTAAAATAAATTAGTGAAAGAGATTGTTAGTAGAAGGAGAGAGATTTCAAATGGCATTGTATGAATCCTATCTTTAAATTAATATTACTAAATTTATGTTAAAGACCATCATGTTATAAAAATAAAAAATATAATTAAACCAGTTATTCCTAAGTTGTATTAAGAAATACCGTTTATTTTTTTGACAAGAAATACTTATTGTGTTATCTTTTTTTTTTTTTACAAGAAAAATATGATACTTGTTGATTATCTTCTTTTTTTTTTTGACAAAAGAAGAAGATGTTGTACTACATTTTTTTTTGCTTGTTGTATTACTTTTTACTTTTTTTTAAAAGAAAAATAAAAAAATGATGCTGCCAAAGTACATTATTTTTTTTGATGCCTCTTATTTTATTTTTTTGCAAGAAACACTTGTTATATTACCTTGTATTTTTTTTACAACAAAAATAAAAAATGTGGTATTATCTTTTTTATCTTTATCTTGAAAAGCCTTTTATTTTATATTTTTTCTATTTTTTTACAACAGTATTTTCTGCCTTTGTTTATATTTGTGAATACAACTTGTATTTTTTTTACAAGAAAAATAAAAAAATGTTGTATTATCTTTTTTTATATTTATCTTGAAAAGCCTTTTATTTTATATTTTTTCTATTTTTTTACAATAGTATTTTCTGTCGTTGTTTTATTTTTTGACAACAAAATTTTCTTTGTTGTGCGCAAAGGGGTTCGCACTCTAGACGTCCACCGAAAAATCGGTGTTGTCAACCAACACGGCCATGTCGCCTAATGTGATTTTATTAGCTTATGTAATAATATATATTCAATCGTCTTGCTTTAATGATTTTTTGTGAGGATTATCCCACATCGAAAGATGAATATCGCTTGATTCTCTATAAAGTCATGTGTAATAGATACTCGTTGCGCGTGTAGAAAAGCGAGGGGGTAGACATGTGAGGTGAGTTACCATGTGTGGAGGATTTTTAGGTACCACGTGTTACTCCCGTGAGGCGGCCACATGTAAACCTAAAAATTACAGGTTTTTTCGGTGAGACTTGCGAGAGACTCACGATTCACTATTGGGAGCCACCCAGTTCTCTCTGGGCACGGGCGATTCCCGGTTTTTTTGTGGAACCAGCTTGGTAGCAAACGATTCCCGAGTCGAACCAAGCAAGTCCGGCTCAACTCGACGAGTTTTCAAACCTGGTTGGGATAATGCTTTGAAGATGATGATGGTCTGCCTAAAAATGTCGGTCTCACCGGCCCTCCATGGCCCAATTCTCTCCCCACATGCTCTCTTTCATCCATTCTCATTTACTCTCTAGATGACCTCTCTATTTCTCTCATCCTCACTTACCCATATCCTCTCTCTAAGTGGTCTCCTCAAACCCAAAGATTCCCACACTCTCTCCCAAGCACCAAACCAAATTCTTTGTGTATAGAATCTCTCGCTCTATACTTCACATACCCATATCATCTCTCTAAAAGATATTGTGATCTCACTTGCACCAAATCAAATAATCTTTTTTCTCTGTCAAGTCTCAGCTTTACCTACCCATGTTCCCTCTCTAAAACGCCGCTCTCATACCCACATGTTCATGATCTATCTCTTATTGTTTTCAGTTATTTTAATTCAAGCCCATAAATGTGTAGGGATCTTTATTTGTATGTTGGGATATGATTGTTTTTCATCATTTTAAATGGAGCCCAAAAAGTTGAGAGGGAGAGAGAGAGAGATTTAGGTCAGGTGTATGCTCATAACTTACAAAAATTTTAGTTTTAAACTTTAAAAGATTTACTCCACATTGGGGAGGTTCGAGAAAAGTTGGACACCAATGAACTATAAAATACAGCATAGGGGAAGGGCATGTGCACTCCATTCTGCCTTGGGGGTGTGAGGTCATTCACATGGAAATGTGAGACCTCAAGTAAATAATAAAAATTTGAAAAATAAAGCACTTGAAATAAATAAAAATTACATGAGAAATGTGAGGCCTCTAGTGAACAAAATATTTAAAAAATAGAAATTACAAGAAATGAAAATTTACATGGAGCTAGTGGTTCCTGCCAAGATCCAACAAGTTCATACAATGAACAAGTCCATTCCTATCTAGAGCCGGTCGGTGAAAGAAGTGGCTATATGGAATTCAAGGCTATAAAATCAAAAAAAATTAGTTTCTTTAATATTGAATCTGAATTCCGCTTACAAGTGCTACAATACACTGCCGTAAAAGAAAATTAAAACCCTAAATACAATCTAGCACCTTTCCTTTTACTGCTAAAATAACTAGATACAATCCAGGAATAAAAACCAAGGTTCTACTATTAATTTGAGTACAAATAATGTTTATGGAAAAAAACAATAAATCTGGAAATATGATTGAAAAATAAAAATAAATAGCTAGGAATACTTACTCGATTATGCCTAAGGTTACCCTTACAGGACTTAGTGCTCCATACACCTGATTTCCTAACCGATGCCGCACTTCAATCGTATTGGTCATATTGAATTTTCTAGGCCGAAAAGCTTCCTTAGGCAATACCTCTTAACATAGGGCTTTAGAGAGCATGGAAACACAATTAAGGCATGCCTCGAAAAATTACTTCCCTTTTTCTAGGGTTAGTCAAAACCCTAATTAAAGTTAGGCGTGCCACGCGCTTTTATTTATCTATGCGTGGTGATGTGAAAGGAGTACAGAAAATTAAATCCAGCCTTCTTTCGATCTTAAACAAACAAAAATTCAACAATAATGGAGGAAATAAGGTGTTTGTAAATCAATTCATGGTGAAGAATAAGCTTTCTTTCTTCTTTCATAAAATAATTCTTTATAAAAAAAATATTCATGTCCCTTATACACAGTGTTCAAAAAAACGGACCGCTCAGTGCCTAGGCGGTCCAAAAAGCCTGGGCGCATTGCCCTGGCCTAGGCTGCCAAATTGGGCGGCAATCCCTGGGTGGTTGCCTAGGCGGGCGCCTAGCGCCCAGCCCTGTGCCTGCCTATGGGCGGAAAATTTTTTTTTTTTCGTTGTATTGATTTTTTTTAAAATATAAAGGGTTTGAAGGATAGGTTTTAGGTTCATTTCAAACCTAAACCCACAAGAAACCATTTTAGAGAGAAATAAACCTCAAGAAAACTAAATTTTTTGACTTTCATTAGATCGAAGTATTTCTCAAAGTTACAGAAAATGGATTCAAACATCACCCAGGTAGATTTGATTTAGTTTTAGAGTTTATAATCCTATTAGAAGGTATTTTTTATTATTTTAGCACCAAAAAAAATCTCAGAGGTGGGAGTTTGGAGTTCGAGCAATCAAAATAAGTGCAAAATTTTATTTTTTAGATTGTTGGTTTTATTTTGAGATGTCTTCTTCAAGATCTAGTCGAAGTGGAGATCCGGGTTGGAAATATAGATATAACCCAAATCCGAATGACAAAAATTGCATTAGATGCAATTTTTGTGAAAAATATAGAAAAGGGGACATAAATCGGTTTAAGAAACATCTTGGCGGTATTAAGGGGGATGTTGCCCCTTGTAAATATGCTCCTAAAGCTATCAGAGAGGAGATTAAGCAATATATGAGTTCTGTAAAACAAAAATAGGAACAAAATCCTTGTCATTTGAATAGGTCTATTTCTGCGACTTCTGGAAGAAGTGATCCGGGTTAGAAGTATGGTTATAACCCAAAACCAAACGATAAAAATTGTATAAGGTGTAATTTTTGTGAAAAATATACCAATGGGGTTATTAACCGATTCAAAAAACATCTTGCCGATGTTAAAGGGAATGTTGCTTCTTGTAAAAAGGTTCCTGAAACTATTTGGGATGAGATTAGACAACTTTTGAATTTAAAAGAACCAGAAAATGATGAAAATAAGCATTGTTCTGTAGAAATATCTTCTCCAGATTCTTCTAGAAGTAATGATCCAGGTTAGAAGTATGGTTATAACCCGAATCTGAATGACAAAAATTGTGTTAAATGTAATTATTGCGGAAAGGATACTGATGGGGGCATTTACCGATTTAAAAAACACCTTGCAATATTAAGGAGATGTTGCCCCATGTAAAAATGTTCCTGAGACTACCAGGGAGGAAATTATACAATATTTGAGTTCAGGGAAGTACAAAATGATACAAAGGTGTAGAGCAGCCAAGACTCCTAGGGCCTCATCTGCACATACTAGAGGTAGAAGAAGAGGAGGAAGAGGCAGATTCAGAAGAAACAGAGGAGGACGAGTGTTATATTGAAGGGGAGATGAATCTGGTGATGATGGCCTCGATTCTGATGCATACGATAAATCTTACCCTATTCCTTCTTATGATGATGGTAATGACTGAAGAGTGAAGACTCTTGGTGTTGACTGTTGACTATTGTGTCCTAGACTATATATTTTATGAATTTCTGTATATTTTCTTTTTCTTATTTTTAGTTTCTAGTTCTACTTTCTAGTTTTTAGTTTTACTATCTAACTTTTGTTTGTACAGTCTACAGTGTATCAAACTATCAGTGTATGCTTGTATGGTTTTACTGTTTTAGCATTGTATGAAAATATGGATTATGGTCTTATGGATTATCAAATTTCTCTTCTTGACTTCTATCTTTTGTTTTTAACTGGGATTATGGCCATACCCTCAGTCACACCATGAGTCCCTCTATCAAGGGCCTGAACCAGGGCTGCCCTAGGCGCCTGCCTAAGCATTGGGAGGCCTGGAACCCATGGTCGCCTGGGTGCCGCCTTACGCTTTTTGAAACACTACTTATACATAAGCATCTCCCTCTTAAATTGCCCTTAAAATAGGAGTTCTCCCCTTAAGATCATGTTACACCCTCATCTCTCTAAGTCATGTAACTTTCTAAAACTTGGACCCCCATAAATTTCTTCATGAGAACCCATAACTTCCATTGAAGGAGGAGTTACCTTATCCCACATAAATCTCTCCCTAGTTGTTAGGAAACTCCCATCCAACTCGAACACCTTCCTCATCTACATCCCCCCAACCACAAATTAAATCACGCCACTCATGAAAATAGGAAAATGGCTATCCTAACCCTATTTATTAAATAAATTCCCTTTAGCCCTTCATACCCCAAGTCCTAAATCAGCCAATAACAAACAAAACATTACTTACATGCCCCTTAAAAATCAATTTAAAAATTAAAAATAAAAGAAATATTTTAATCAATCTAGTTCTTCAACTTCTTGGATCCGATTTGAATAGTACTCCCCGAGTTGGAAAAAAAACTCTTCTCGAGTTTTTGCTATTGCATCTTCACCATCCCTTAGTTGATGGTATACCCTATGTCTCCACGCCATTGTTCTTTGTGAGGCATAAGGCCAAACATTCTTAGCATGTCTGGGCTATAAGCTTCGACATTGATGGAAGGAGTATAAACTTTATGGGCAGTATCACAAGCATCAACAACTTTAGCTCTTACATAGCCATCACGTGTCAATACTGAGATACTTAATTCATAGCTCAAACAGAGATAATTCATAGTTCAAACAGAGAACTCTTTTGCCTACTTCATGGGATGCTAGAGACATTTTATTTAATGTCAGAGTGTAGCCTTACTTGCAATGTTCTTGAGTATGGGAAGCTGCAGAGCTTAGAGAAATAGGACAAATAAGTCCTAAACAAAGATAGAAAAACAGTTCTGCTCATCAAATTTAATTATTTTATTTCCAACAGAAGTTTGACTGCACCAGGAAACATCCAATACTTCTAGTTCAAAAGACCAATTCAATCATACAAGTAGCACAAAACCAAATATATCAATATGAAGCCATTCATTTAAACATGATCATTTGATAGGAGACCCCTGACCTGTCAATTGGCAGGTCCAAACAATTATGTGACCGCAAAATTGTGTTACCCAAGGCCAGCCAACTTGAAGATTCTTTAATAGCTTTAAAGGCATTGTAAATTGGTTTGCTTTGTGCCAATCTGAGTTCAAATTTGACCTTCCCTGGCTGTACAAGAATGAAACATGCAACTTCCATAAAAAACAATCCATGCAAACCTCAAACTGTATTACTAAAAAATCAAGTACCTATTGTTGTTAATCGAAATCAATGAGAAGTAGATATGACTAGGAACCAGATCTCTGGGACTGTGTTTTTTTCTTTGTGGTGACTTCACTCATGATTAGCATCAGTTCTGTCATTTTAGTCTCCAATTCATTGTATTTCTCAGCTCATGCCATTAATATATTTAATGTCTCTCATGCTTTGTTTTCCTTTCAGTTCATGTTTCTGATTTTCTGGTTATTGTTTCATTCTATTCACTTTGAATGGGGTATTAAGGGATTTATATAGTTTTGGGAGCCCAATTAGTTGGGAAAAGGCTTCGACAACGACGACGACAATGATGATGATGATGATGATGACAACATAGTTTTGGGGAGATTGGCTACGAGAGAACCAGGGTAAGTATACTCAGGAGGAGGTTAAAAGTCATGGTCATTTAAGCAAGGGAAGATGTGGATTTGGTGGAGTAGGGAACTAGTAGGGAACAAATAAGAAGGATTGGTCGTTGCTCTAATGGGGCCTGAGCTGCAAGTGAGAGAAATTTTTCTACTGGAAATGGTAATGGGATTTGGTCATTGCAAGGAAAACGAAGTACCAGGAATACCTAGTGCTTTTTCAAAAGAGAGTTCAACAAAGTTGGGACTGATAGTTTAATTTGGTTATATGGAAGGTAGTTTCCTCAGTGGGTAGACAGCCGATTGCCGTCTTGCATCAAGCTTCGGAAGTGTGAGGCCACTAATCACAATAAGAAGTGTCTGCGGCTTTAAGGGGGTTGAAACAAAATGGGGAGAGAATTTTAATTTAGGTAAAACTCATAAGAGGGGAAGTTAATTTCCTGAGTGATTAAACAGCCAAATGTGATTGTGTATCAAGCTCCTGAAGTGATAGGCCATAATCACAATTTCCAAAATCTAAACCATTGAATTATGAGGTAACTGTATGCATTAAAGCAGAACTGCCTTTCTTCAAGGAATGGACAAGGGAAACTTAAAGGCTTGTGTTTGCAATAGCATCAGGAGTTGCTGATTCGACATGGCTGATGCAAACACGGCACCTGTAGGGGTAAGACAACTGATATAACTTTGTGTCGAATATCATCTACTGCTATTAGAAAAGAATAAAGATACATATCACCTAGGGCTTTACCATGAATGTCATGACATGGATTAGGGGAGATACCAATCTCATCAGACGCATCAATTTCATGGAAGATAAGGGAATTTCTACATAATTATAGAACCTACTATCGATTTGTTGTACTAATCAATAAATAATGCAAGCCCAAGGAGTCAGTGGCGAATCACTATGCTAATATGCTGTAACAAGGGATGAATAGGCATACAGGATATTCTACCACTCAATAATTATTTGTCCCTTACTTTTTTTCTTCCCTTTTTTTTCTTCCTTTTCTTGATAAAAGTATGCATTGTCAATTGAAACTTCATTGATTGATGATCTCCTCGAAAATATGTAAATTAATAGAAAAACCTAATGAATAAGGCTTGCATGAAGGTATTAGTGTCTGTATTTGTATGGATGTATGCATGTATATATGTGTGTATGTATAAGTGTGTGTGTATATGTATTTATGAATACATGCAAGCACCACATTTAGTCTATTCATGCGGACATGCATACATGTATGCGCATGTGTGTATGTGTGTATATGTGTATGCACACACCAGATTAAAGCTCCACCTCAAGTGCTCTCAAATATTTTCCTGAGCTTAAACCAAAGATGCAACAGCAAGAAATGATAGTGAAAGACAACTTGAAACATTGAATTTACTAGATAGGAAGGAAAAAGACCAAATTAAGACAAAAAATGACAATCATTTCACCAAACTATGAATGTAAATAAAAGAACGGGCATCAACAAATTACTCAATTCACAGGGAATGATCTTGTGGCGCCAATCAAACCTTCTTAATTTAGCACACCCAAAGCTTCAATAGAATATGATAATAGTTGTCTCCTCCACATAAAAAGTTTAACATACAAGCCATCGAATAGAGATGGTCTAAACTTTAACAGTGTCAAGGAGGCTGAATGACATTCGTCAGAAAGATTAACGAAGGTCAAGAATGTTTATGAACCAGATCTTCTGTAAAATGGTCGGAAGCGTCAGGAGAGAATATCCAATGTCAACATGTTTGCATGACATGTCAGCAACGCCAAAGCAAAACATCAACATGCAAAACAAGTCTTGTGAGATAATTGACACAAATATCTACATTTGTAGCAGCAATTATACAAACATATTAAACTTCAACAGCACTCATAATTTGAAATGATGAAAGAGATGAGGGTAGCAGCCCCATTTCATTGCACTTTCTAAATCTTTTGTATTTATAGCTAATACTATGGGCTCATCTTGATCAAAAACCAAGGAAACCATTATGCTTCTTGTTGCACAAGTATGAGCACAGCTAGATGTACAGTAATACAGGAAGGCGACTTTGCCTTTTTCAGCAGCTGCAGATGTCATCTGTTTAAAGATCTATGAGCACCTATGTTACTTACAGAAATTAGCATGTTTACAGAGAAGTTTTCAGTCCCATGAGATTAATTAATAGCCATTTAGGTCTCATCCAACTCTCCTCCAAGCAAGATTAACATACTATATCTAGTAAAAAGAAGTCCTAAACACAGAAGTCTATGTATTTTTCTAATAGTATTCATGCAAGCAGGTTGGTTCTAATAGATGTATAAGGCAAACCAACACATTTGCAAAGCAGTTCGGAATATCAAACTGAGTCGCACAAATAAAAGCTCAGTACCATGTATAAACTGACACAATATTTGTCAAAGAAATTAAATTTTGCATCAATATATACAGTTACAACCAGATTCTTTACGGTGGCTGAAGTCTGCAAATGCACATTATTATGTGAAGGGTATACAAAGTACGCATTGACAGCGTAGAGAAACTGCATATGTTCAACTTACACCCTGAACTTAGGGGTCTTTAAGCAAAGGCCATGTTTTGGAGAAGGAAACTTCATTCTATTCATATGAAACAAAGAGGGCACTCTCCAGTTTTCACACAAGTTAGGCAATCATGCAGCAATAATACAACAGGTGAAAGAAGTCTTAAGAATTGATACCGTACATGAACTTCCTCAATAGCTGAACGGAGCTCGGCATTATCTTTCACCGACTTGAGATGATTCACAATGCCCCAAACTACAGTGAGATTATCCACTATCTTCTCTAATGGCACCACTAATTTATCCCAAGTTGGCTCCACGGTATTCTCTAATTCAACCAAATCATCTTCCTGCAAATTCAGACAAGAACAGCAGATAGTTTTTAAAGCATGAAAGATCGATGGAGTCTACCTTCCTTTTATAGATCCAAGTAATTTACAATAGAACTCCTTGGATTATCTGCTAACCACTCAATCAATTACTTATTCGGAATGATAAAAGGGAAAAATAGTAAATATGAAAAACAAATTGTGTAAATGTGCGTTTTAATGATATCGATTGTACAAATAAAAAATGATTGTACGAATAACAAGTCTCTTTTTGTTTGGTGGGGGGAAAACGAATAACAAACTTTCCTGTGACCTTTGCCAATAAATGAACGCACTAATTGAACCGGTCCTTGTATGTTTCAGGGGAAGAGCGATTGCATTTAGCCAGGGATGGGGTTTTTGGAGCATCAATCAACACACCCATTCAAATGCAGTATTCTTCCAAATGTCCCTCTTAGATATGAGTTTTGGATCTTAAATTTTATAGTCGATAATCTCAACCACTACAGCCATGAATCTGGAAAGAAAATGGAATTAACCTTAAAACTAGACTGTTTTGAAAAACTTTGTTCTGGAAGTGTTTATTTTTCTTTGCATATCATCAAATATGCAAGCTGCAAAAATTATAGATCTAAAGCAAAATGTACTTGAGTGACTTAGAATGTATCTCAGATCCTACAGTTAACGTTTCTCAAAAAAAATAAAAAAAAATTATCGTTTCTCAAACAAAAAAAAAAAAAAGTGTGTCAAATCCTAAATCTATCTCTAAGATGGATTTTTGGAAGGGGAACATATTTGAATTGGTGCATCCAGGACACACCATAGTTTTTTTTTATAACTAGATGTTTCAAGGGCATAAATGTCCTTCATAAGATGCTGATCGTGTACCACTACACTTCAGACATTTTGAAGATTGTAATGGCACTTTTCAATCATTGGTCCAGAGAGACGTGTATATATAACTTGAAAGACTCATTATTTTTTTTATTTTATTTTTTTCAAGGTAGATTGATGAGGAAGGGTTTCCCCTTTGAAAGACTCATCATTCATCTAATGAAAAGTTGGAGATAAACCTAAAGACTCCTTCCCCAAGCTTCTTAGCTCTAGACACATACCAGGCCTATGTAACAGCCAGTAGTCAAATCCCCCTCATAGTTTACTAACAAGCAAAGACATGCCCTGAACTTTCGCCCAAACCAAAGAATCTCATAGCACTCCCTTCAATGAAACCAATTGAAGAAATGATTTGCTATCATGAAAGTAAATGAAATGTTGATTAGTCAAATAGAAATAACCAATGAAGCAGTCGATGGAAATCTAACATAAGCACTTAACATAGTAAGACCACAACTCAATTCATATTTACTGCTTTTAAAATCGGTACTCGAGCCCGAACTTTCCTCGGTCACTTGGACCAAGCAGGGTGCAGGATCCATATGAATAACTTAAGACTCACGGAGAGTCTGATCCAAATCACTGAATTTTCATGTATTTTTCTGTAGAGACTTGGCCAAGTTGGCGGTCTAAGTCGGCCTCTGACACAGGATCCAGATACCAATAAGTTCAAGCCCAATACTGAGCTTTTAATCACTGATTCGTATAATGGATTTGATACGAGAACTTGGCAAAATTCGATAAATTGAGGGACTCGATAAATTGAGGGAATCAACTTTCACATCCAATGTCAGAAAATTGTTTTTAGTTAGCAAATACCAGAAAGAGATATGGTCACCATGGTAGATCATGTGCATGGCACATCACATCCAAAAAGACACAAATATCTCCTATGATCATGAATGTGTTCCCTTGTTCTTTTGGTTTATATTGTCATTGTAAAATATATCCATTTGTTAAAATGCATGGAAATGAAGGGGGATTGGGTTTTCTTTTGTGTAAGAGACTGCAACTTTTCCAGAAATTTATCGAGGAGGTTATTCCCAATTGAAATATAAGAATTTGACTGTGGTCATTGAGGCTGAGAAGTTGTTCTCCATGAAGCACATCATCTTTGCATGACAAGCGAATTAAAACCCACTAAAATGTAAACTTGTTCTTCTTCTGCCTTTGAAACCTTTTTTTAACAATCTTTTCAGCAATTCATGATTTCAACATTATTGTGTTCCATTCTGTTTCACTTGAATAAAATGTGTATATCATCAAGGAGAGGGCACATTCTTATCCAAAAAGGAAGGAAAATGGAGACCAACACACTCTACGTGTAATCAGATGGGAAAATGACTATGATGATGACGGTTGTAATGAGATCGTACTACAAAGAACAGGGACTTTAGAAGATAATTCATAGAAGAGGTCATAACTTGGTGAAGTCTTTAAGTCTCAAAGTTTAAACTTTAATATTGCAACTACAATTCTTCAGATTGTTTCAGTTAGAATGATAATGGATTGTGATGCTGACATTTATGTTCTATCATTTTTCTAAAGGGATAGTTATACATGGGTTTCATACTTTTCATAAAAGTGTGAATGGAAAACGAGTTTTGTTCATTTGTCCAAATCCCCACTAAACATACCGATTATTTTTCTAACTCTCGCAAGTCGCAACTATGGTTTCTGCTTTTCTCATAGTTCAACTGTAGTAACTAAGTTAAGCAAGAGGCAGGATGCATATTAATTCTTTTCTATTTTTCATCTTTTCATCTTTACAATCACATATTTTTCCCAAATATACAGAAAAAAAAAAACAGCATCTGAACTCCTTTCATGAAGCAACACAAAGAACTCAATGCCTTAACCATGAAATACCCTAGGCTATATATTATGTGCAAGTATCTATCAAAGTATCGGGAAACTTTCCTTTTAGTTTTCCTTTTTTTTCCCTTTCTTATTTATTTATTTCTTTGCTTGGCTAGTTTGCTGCAGAAAAATTCTATGTCAAGAAAACAAAATAAACATTTAGAATGTTAGATGAAAATGTTATTTCTTCATTATTTGTAATATTGGGAATTAACATAAAAGAAACCCTTTTTATTTTTAAAGTTTAAAAATAGTCCCATATATTTTATATTTGTACACTTCAAAGTCCCATTTTTATTATTGTACTAGTTTTATTTTTTTTATATATCAGATTAAGCTCAAATTTTGGGCATCCATATTTTTTACCATAACGCACTTATAAAAAACAGTAAAAGACGTAATTAAGTTAAATAAAAAAACCAAAATATCCCTACACAATTTAAAATTTTAGGTGTATTTTGGTCATTTTATCTATTTTTTAAATTTTAACAAATGTGAGATTGTGATAAGTATCAACACTCCAAATTTGATACCAATCCCAAGTATTAAAATAAAATACAATACACACTCAGAAAGTGGGACTTGAGCATGAAATATAAAACATACATAATTGTTGGCTATGTGGTCATTCTAAGCCTTAAAGCGAAGAGTCTTTCGCTCAGTGGAAGCCAAAGAGAGACTGAATCTGGGTGCTTGACGCACTAGGGCCCAGATTCATATACCACAATTATTAGAGGCAATGAGAGTATACGTTTTGAGAGTGTGAGCTCAGAAAGGTGTGAGGGTCACCACCCAGTCAGGACTATATTGATTAGAATGCTTTATAGTTGATGTGATAAGTCAGGGCTTAGAGAATCCAATCGAGAATAATAGAATCTGAGTATTTAAAAGAGTATTCGTCCTGTATGGAATTGTCGGCTTACGGGACATGAGCCCAAATCCTGCACAAGACCGTTCCATGGCATGTGCACCCACAGTCTTATGGGGAAGCCACTCTTCTATAGTATTATCCGACTTAAAAGAGTTAGTGTACATGTGCTTTGAGAGGACTCATGTATTTGAGTAGAAACATGTGCCACAGGGGTGCACCAGTAATCCCCTGAACCCTTGGTGACGGGAAGCTCTGGCTCAGCAACTTTAGTGTGGCCAATTATGTGTCCCTGTCATAGATTGTGGAGCATAGGTCCGTTGGTTCAGCTTGAAACACCGGTGGAACGTCATTCGGGATAGCCCAATTGAAAACTCCAATTAGTGTTATATGTCTAGAGATCTTATTTAATCTAAAATTGATGAGCAAAGATTTTATATTGATGAGAAAATGTATAATAATGTTGAAATTTTATTTTGATAATTTTTGGGATTTTTGAAGAATTTTTCAGATTTTTTGATGCATCAAAACTTGTTTTATTGAAATTATTTGGCCAAAATGACGATCGAGGACAAGCCATTGGGATGCCACGTGGGTCCCAAGTGACCATAAGGATGCCACGTGGCACCCCCACACCCCCTTGGGTGCTGACATCATGCCCATGCGTGGGGAGCATTGTTGTCTTTTGTTATTTGGTTATATTATCTTTATTTAAAACATTATGTTTTATAATGTTCTGACTTAAGTGAGTTATTTTGTCACATGGTGTTTTGTTCACACATGTGGTTTATTTACATGTGGTTTATTTGGCATGTGTGAAGTCATGAAAGTTTGAGAATTAATTTGATTTATATTATTATCCACATATAATTTTGTGGCATGTAGGTATATCTCATGTGGCACTACATTATGGGCTTGACCCATGTGAAACTTTAATGTTGTTGAAATCCTATTGGTGGTGTCATAAGATATTTTATTCACATGTGTGGATGTCCCATATTACCTTTATGTCTATATCCATGTCTTTTATTGACTCTCACAAATTATTTAAAAACCATGAGCATAAATGTAAACATGAATTTGGACTTAATGGGAAACAAAACATGGAGCTAAGGGCTTTAAGGTAAAATGACTATAACCTAGGTTTTAAGGAGTGACGGGTGTCAAAAGCTCATCTATTGATCTTGGTAATAAGATATGGATGAGTGGCTTGGATAAAAGCCTCTCATGTGCCATTGATTTAAGGAATCAATGATCAATATCAAATTCACCTTTATAATCTAAGTATAAAAATAACTTATGTGATCAATTATAACCCTAACTTGTGTATTCACTTCAAAGAGAGAGAGAGCCCCCTTGACAAAAAGGTCACCACCTATGAGACTATCTTTTTCCTTGAGCTTTTATTTGAACCCTTTCATAGAGTAGTCCCTCATTTGTGTGATCAAGCTCATACTATTGCTTCACTAATTTATTGATTTTTCTTTCTTATATTTATTCCTACCTCATTTTCATTATCAAAGCTTGTTGTAATTATTAATTTACAATAGCTTTCTTCATTTTGGTCATGAAAACTTGATATTTGAAGAGTCCCAAAGCAATTGTATAGTTCATACACATGGTATGTGTAGACTAACTTGCTTACTCTATGATCTTGAGTAGTTTCACCTTGATTTTTTTTATCTTATTTTTCTGGAATTTTTTCTGAGAATATACAACTGATGAGAGGTTTCATCGTATTTGAGCATATGAAATAGTCCCGTGAGTTCTTTTTTTAATGAGAAAAGTTTGTGTGGTCCCTTATGGACCAGATGGTGTAGCTTCCCCATAACTTCCTTATTTTGTATGGTATCTGTCTCAAACTTTGAAGGCCTATTTTGATACATGTCTCTCTCATAATTTGATCCCCATTAAGTGAAATAAAAATGATCATTTGCTTCTCATTTCATTGATCTCATTGAGTTATTATTATCACCTATGCCTTAGACAATAGGACAAAATTAAGTCCTCAAAAGGCCCTTTCGTGGCCCGGGCACAAGGGGTTCGAACCATGGCTTCCCCATATATTTTTGCATGTTAATTTGATATATTTATATTTATTGAGTAATTCATGATTAATTAAATTGAGAATGTTATGTGAATATTGAGATTGTTCTTTAATATTGCGGTACGAGCTTTAATGCTATGCTTTATTGTTTATATAAATTGAAATCTCATTGGATCATTATGATCAAGTGTATGATGTGTATGAGACATTGATATATATGATGAAGATGAAAAATGAAGATAGAATTATCACGTAATTTTGATATAATGGGAAATTTTGAGTGCAAGTCATATAATATGTCGTAGAGGTGTACATTGTGAGTATTTGAACATTATATTGAGTTTAATTATATTTTTTTGAGTAAGAGATTTGTAAGGACCTATGAGGGTTGAATTTTTATTATTTAAATGTATATAAACTATGTTTGTAGGCTGGAATATATGTATTATGGTTTTGTATTGAGGTTTTCATGCATTTAAATTTTAATACAATGGAAAAGTTTTAAAATAACGCAAAGAACGTGTTTCTAGCATTGGTCTTATACCACCAACAATAACTACGTTTACATTTTGATAATAAAAAAGGATTTTTTTCATAAATTTCTTTGAATCATGTTATCCAAATTGAGTGTATTTGACAAGTAGCCTTACATGAGAACACTGGTCCTCTTTCCTAATGGGTTTCCCTATTGATGGTTTGCCATGTGCTTGTCCTATCATATTCCAAGAAATCTTCATAATAGTGATAGCTTGACAATTTACAGTAACAAATCACAATTTGAGAATAGCGACAGGCTGAAGATTCACAGTAAACCCATCAAAACATAAGGGGACATCGATCAGCTAGCCATTTACAGTAAGGTTTTCAATACCTGGAAACAGCAAGGGAAATGGAATGAAAAGGTCGAAGATTTTCTTCAGCATTACAGACTAATTCTTGGAACTTGTAAGATCCTTTGTACTGGGCCAACATAAAAAATGAAAATGGGAGGAGAAAAAGCTCAACAGCCAAGAACAAAAGATTCAATTGCATAAAATGAGAGAGACGAAAAACACGAGCTTAAATCACCCACAACAGAGAGAGAGAGTAAATCCCAGTAAATTCGAGTAAAACTAAACTAGTCTCTGTTAAAGAATCACCACACAGAAGAAAGAACAGGATTTCAAATAATTCGAGCCTCATCTTTCACAGCAAACAGTGCATAAAAGCAAAAGTTCAAATAATGAAACTTAAACCAAGAAATTACAAATAAATAATCATTATTACAAGTTTTCATCTGATAATCCAACCAAATTGAAGCGAAACCCACACAAAAAAAATGATTACGGAAAAGATAAAAAGCAAAGAAAAGAAAAGTTAGTACCAGTCGTCTCAAAAGCGTCTTTATTCCAGTCCTCACATGCTTGGCCTCAATCATGTCATATGGAGGAAAGGTGAATTCACTCAACAGTGGATTCTCACCTTCTGTTTCTGCTGAAGAAGGGATTGGACTCTCTGCAACTTTTGCCGCCATTAATAGAAGCTTCAAGCCACTTAACAAAAAAAATTGAACTTTCAGTATGTTTCCATTTTCTCTTTATAAAGAAATGAGACTAAGAATTTTCCATTCTCTCTCCAGAGTGACGATTGAGGACCGAGGAGTCGTGGTCACAGGAGACAATGATCATGGTCCAAAAAAGAAAAAATTATGCTGAATTGCTCATTTCTTCGTTGGAGTTTTTGACTTTCTTTACATCTCTCCATAATGATATTGGTTCAGACTTCAGAGTGAACTTTCAAATTCGACAAATATATATATATATAAAAGAGGTGTGACCTAGTGCGTATGGCTACGGTAAAAACCAATGGTTCATATTCAGTCTGGGCTGATCTGTCCATTACAAATATTTGATAATATTTTTATTTTAATTTTTTTTTACAAATCCAAATCACCTGTGTTTTTCAAAAATAGACGAATCAATAAAAAATATAAAAAAAAATATTTACATGAAATAAATTAACCAAAATACCCTCAAAAAGTTTTTTAAGAATAATTTGGTTAATATTTTTCACTAATTGTTGTTTTATATTTTACTTAAGTGCGCCTTGATAAGAAGAACGTATGCCTAAAATTTCAAGTGATTTTGATTTGTAGAAAAAACATTTAAATTCAAACACTATCGGACATCCGTGAGCATAAGATCGGCCACAAAATGGCCTAGATTCAATCTGAACCATTCGGGTGTGGGCATATGGGTATACAGCAGTAACTCCCCATATATATATATATATATATATATATATAT